TGCCTGCATGAATTGGAGCTGCCATGCCTCGGCCCAGTCGGAGGCTCCCTCTGGCACGGCTGGGGGGGGGGGAGCAGGGGGCTGCAGGTTGGGGATGAGGGGGGCTGGGGGGCAGGGGATGTTGGTGGGATGTGTGGGGCACTAGTATTGCCAGGAGGGCTATGGCTTGGGAACGAGGGGCACTAGCATGGCCCGGAGGAGTGAGGGACTGTGGGTCATGAGTGAGGGGCAGTGGTAGGGTCAGGTGGCTGTGGGTTGGCAGTGAGGTGTCCCCCCCAGCACTGCAGGTTGGGGATGAGGGGGGCTGGGGGGCAGGGGATGTTGGTGGGATGTGTGGGGCACTAGTATTGCCAGGAGGGCTATGGCTTGGGAACGAGGGGCACTAGCATGGCCCGGAGGAGTGAGGGACTGTGGGTCATGAGTGAGGGGCAGTGGTAGGGTCAGGTGGCTGTGGGTTGGCAGTGAGGTGTCCCCCCCAGCAGGGGCGCACTGTCTTTTGGAACAGGAAATATATGGTAACCCTAACCTTGAGAGAATTGCATCTCCCTTCCCTCCCACCTGCCGTGCCTCAGTTTCCCTTCCTTGCCTCATGTTGCTGTAGATCTGAGCTCTGGGGTCAGGGACAACCTCATTGGGGTCCTCCAGCACAGTGAGGCCAGAGGGTGCGGGTCAGATGTATCCCCCCTGGTGACGGTGGGCGCATCTCTTGCAGAGTATGCTGAATTCTTGCACTGCAAATCGAAAAAGTTCACAGACTTTGACGAGGTGCGGCAGGAGATCGAGGCGGAGACGGACCGTGCCACGGGAACCAACAAGGGCATCTCCCCTGTCCCTATCAACCTGAGGGTCTACTCTCCGCATGGTGAGTGAGGCTTCATGCTGCCTGGCCTGGCCTGGCGAAGGGCCAGTGGGCTCCTGAAGGCCCACTGATATAACAGTTTACAAATGAGAAGGGCTTACAAAATACTAAGTGATGAAGAGACAGTCAATCAGGATTTATTACTGAGTAGCTCTCAGCAGACAGTTCAGGGATCATAAAATCCATGGTGCGTCTACACCTTGAATCCTGTGTCCAGTTCTGGTCCCCACACCTCAAAGAGAATATAGAACCGGGGTCAGCAACTCCCAGCACATGTGCCGAGCATGGCACGCAAGACCATTTTGCTCAGCACACCACTGCCAGCCTGGGCTCTAAGCAGCTGCTGCCAGCCACAGAGCCCAGGCTGCTCCCAGCAGGCGGCTGGGAGGCTGCAAGCCCTGCTGCGAGCAGACTGCAAACAGGAGCTCCAGGCTCCAGCATGTGAGCACTCCGGCACCTTCCAAGGTAGATGTGGTTTTTTCGGCACTCCAGCCAAACAACATTGCCTGCCCCTGATATAGAAGGACTAGAGAAGGTCCAGAGAAGGGCAGCAAAGATGATGAGTGGTATGGAATGACCTCACTATGAGGAGAGACTAACAAGGCAAGGTCTGTTCAGTTTAGAAAAGAGATGCTTGAGGGGGGACATAAGAAGGGTTTACAAAATACTAAATCTCAAAGAGAAAGACAGTAGGGATTTATTATCGACTAGCTCTCACCAGACAATAACTAGGGGTCACAACATGAAACTAGGAGGCTGTCATTTTTAAACTAACACAAGGCAGTTTCTTTTCACCCAGTGCGTCATTAAAGTGAGGAACTTGTTGTCACCAGATGTGGTGGAAGCTGAGCGTTCCGCCAGATTTGCGAAGGGACGGGACATGTTCTTGGAGGAAAGGGGCATCGGTAGCAATTGACCATGGGAGCGAAGGGCACGACTTCTGAATCGGAGTGTCCTAGACCTTAAATGCTGGAGACTGTGTGAGAGAGAGAGAGTGGAACAGGGGGGAAAAACCCCAGTTAGACCCAGTTCACCTTCCCTTTCAGCATTTGTTCTCTGCCACTGTGAGACGCATGAGGCTGACCAGATGGACCTAAGCAGCTCTTATGTTCTTATGAAGGAAGGCACTTATGTGTGGAAGTGTATGTCAGGGCATGGGGGAGGCTATGAAGGGTCACAAGGGCCAGGGCCAATGAAAGTGATGGTCTGTTCTGTGTCCTTCTTGCCATGGTGATATTGAGTTCTCTCACACTGCCTGGACCCTGCCTCACCCTTAGGTTCTCCTGACCCCACAGAGGGAATGTTCACTCCCTGCTGCCCCACCTCCCATGCATAGGCTCTCTTTTTTCACTCTCTGCAGTCTTGAACCTGACCTTGATCGACCTTCCGGGCATCACCAAAGTGCCTGTGGGAGACCAACCACAGGACATCGAGTACCAGATCAAGGATATGATCCTGCAGTTCATCAGCCGTGAGAGCAGCCTGATTCTTGCTGTGACCCCAGCCAACATGGACCTGGCCAACTCGGATGCCCTCAAGATGGCTAAGGAGGTTGATCCTCAAGGTGAGGGGCGGATGCCTGACTCACTAGCTTTCCCCTAGGGTAACGCAGCTTTTCCATGCCCTTTGTGCAGCTATGGAACCCTGCTGGGGTTAGGCGCTGAAAGTCCTATCAGTTATAGGATGGCCCAGTAGGTTTGGGCACCACATGGTTGCTGACTTGTTAGTTCCGGGGCGGGGGGTGGGGGGAAGCTGCTGTATCTGGAGATGGCTTCAAACCCTTCCATCCTTGGCATAGCCCTCTCTGGCATCGGTGCCTCTGGCTCCAGCTGCTGGCAGTAGCTACTGTTTCCAGCTATCCACTGGGCTCACAGCTGTGTCTGCAGGGAGTGAGGTTGCCCCCCTCAGCTCTGCCTAAAGGGGCTGCTGGAGTCACAGCATTAGGCTTCTGTGTCACCTGTCCCTCCCTGTAATGGGTGGCTAGGAGCCCAAGTGTGCCCCAGGCTCTGCTCGCAACCTCAAGCAGCTGTGGCATATTCTGAGGTCCTGAGTCCAGTTCATAAACTGCACATCTTCATAAACAGACTGAGCTCTGCTTTAAAATCAGGGTTTATTTCCTTCCCAACTCCCTCTGCCAGGGGCAGTTCCAGTGACCTCATCCCTCTCTCCAGCCCTATTGGAGTGGGTTCCTCAGGATGGGCAGCAGCAGGCACACTAGCCTCTCCTCTAACCTCCAGCCTCTCACACAGGCTTGCGGACCATCGGTGTGATCACGAAACTGGACCTCATGGACGAAGGCACTGACGCCAGGGACATCCTGGAGAACAAGTTGCTACCTCTGAGGAGAGGTATAGCACTGCTGGCTTTGGGTGATGTGCTTTTGCCTACCTCACACTCTGGGAATTCTCTGCCTGTAGAAAAAGGGTAGAGACATCCTGGAGCAGAGGGGAAGGTGGGGTGTGTGCCTGGTACCTGCCGCCCCATCCTAGCCCCATACAGGGGTTGGGCCTGGTGCCACCCCCTCCTAGCCCTCCACACAGGGATTGGGCTCTGGGACCCACCACTGTCCCTGTCCAGCCCTGCACACTGGGATCAGCCAGAACACAGGGCTTGGGGCCCTTCATGAGTCTGGGAACTTGGCAGCACCGCTCCCTTGCCACCGAATTTCCTGGCCTGCAGACTGGGGGTTGAGCACCTCTGGCATAGAGTAGTGGTAGCCTTGAGGCAGGTTGACAGGCTCTAGAACCTACCTGCAGCCAATGTTTCTCTGATGGCATAGGGAGGCACCCGCAGCCAAAACCTTACGTCCCTGGGTTGGATCCAATGGCTTTGCAGGCCAGGTCCAGTTCACAGGCTGTAGGTTGCTGACCCCTGGTACAGACCAATCCTGCCTGGGAGGGAGTGTGGCATGGGACTCGAGACTGAGGCTTTCCAGTGTTCCTTAACCATAGAGGACTACAGCTGAACACACCCAACTCTAGGCAGAATCTGCTGTGTCCAGACCTTCCCAGACAGATGTTTAACCTACCCTTGCCCCAGTATCGGAGTTCCCCTGCTACCTGGCTTCTGTCCCGGAGCTGACACATTGGTTTCCCCTGCTGCAGGTTACATCGGGGTAGTGAACCGGAGCCAGAAGGACATTGATGGCAAGAAGGACATACGGGCTGCTCTGGCAGCCGAACGCAAGTTCTTCCTCTCGCATCCAGCCTACCGGCACATGGCAGACCGCATGGGCACGCCGCACTTGCAGAAAGTCCTCAACCAGGTTAGACCCAGGGCATGGGTGGATCTAGGATTTTGAAAAGGGGTGTGCATGGTGATGTGCATCACCACACAGTTTCCTCCAAAAAATAAACTATAACAGCTTTACTAATTTGCTGTAGGCCTAGGGCTGGATTCTTCAGTTTAAGATGGATGCAAGAACAAATATAACTGCATTGGAATTAGTTCAGAACAGTCTGCAGGGTTGGGAAATAGAAGCTACGTGACAACAGCATTGCAAAACAAAGGGCTAGCTTGATTAGTGAAACATCAAGAACATTGACAAGGAGAGAGGGTTGGTTAATACCTGTGGAGCAAAGAGTTTAGAAGGAATCATATAGATTGTAATAAGCCAAGAAGTCAGTGAACTCCCCTCACTGCTGCCTGAATAGAAATGCTGCAGCCACTGTCAGGTGGTTTGTTTTAACATTTGGGTGGAGCAGGAATTAAAGAGGGCAACTCTGGATCTGCCCTGGCCTCAGGGTCTTGGTGCCAAGCTATGCCCCTTCCTGGCTGGTCAGCTTGGCTGACATTTGTGCATTTGCATGGGTGCAGAAAGTGACATAGGACCCTGCGGCTATGGGGTCTCCTTCCCTGCAGCCCTTGTGTCCTCCAGACGATAGCCAGTGAGGCTTTGAGCCTGCCAGTGGTAGAAGCAGCAATTGCTGTCATAGCAGGAAGAAGGTCACAGTGAAGACAGAAGGTGGAAGCTATAGGAATGGGGAAAATGCATTAAAACAGGAAAAATGTGGCTTGAAGCTCTCAGCAGCTGGAGGGCTTAGTCTGTCTGGAAGCTATCCAGGGCTCTGTCTGAGAACCAGGCCTTTTGGTGCCCCCCACGCCACCAGCCTGTATTTTTTAAATTTGTATCCCAGGCCAAATTAGCCCAAACTAATTCCAAATCCAAGAGTCTAGAACCATAAGTGGCTCTACTACCGATCCACTCGCACCTCAGGCTTCAGATGTTTCCAAAACCTTTGGCGGGCATCCTACTTGCAGGCCCAAGCCCAGAGGCTTGGGGTTTGGATGCCCCTGAGTGTTGCTTGCCCTTAGGCATAAGGCCCTCGGAGCAAGTAAGGGAGGAGACTTCCATTTCCATAAACTGGGCTTAGAGCTGCTGCACGTTAGCAGGTACTGAACCATGCCAGAAGAGCAGTTCTGCGATGTGGTTCTATCTTCTTGGACACAGATGCATGGTATTTCCCCTGCCAGGTTAAGTAGCTACTACACTTGTCCTGAGCCTTCAAGAAGCCACAAAAGGCAAAAGATTTGTATGCTCTGAAGAGAAACCGGAGTATTTCCTCTCCCTTCCACACAGCAGCTAGATCAGATGGGGCTCAATGCATGGTCACGGGCTCCAGCCTCTGGCTTCTACCTGCTCTCGCTCCGTTGGAAAGGCTTGAAGTGCCAGGTGCTGGCACCAACAGCTGAGCAGCAGCCTTGACTGTTCCTCTCATCTTCTTGTAGCAATTGACCAACCACATTCGAGAGACCCTGCCCTCACTACGCAGCAAGCTCCAGAGCCAGCTGTTGTCCCTGGAGAAGGAGGTGGAGGAGTACAAGAACTTTCGCCCCGATGACCCCACACGCAAAACCAAAGCCTTGCTCCAGTAGGTGCCTTCCTGCCCTTAAGGGCACATGGACGCTGCATTGCGGGTGGTGTTGGAAGGAAGGGGGTGAGGGGTATTTCACCTCCAGCCTCAAATAGACATGGTTGCATGTTCAAATAAGACTAGTGTCCACAGCCTCTTCCTTTGTGACCCGCTAGCTCCTGCTGGCTTCTGCTCCTAGAACCTGGTTCTAATCTTTAGGAGCAGACAGCTTTGGAGAGAGGTTGCCAGCTTCAAATAGTGGTGCTTTTTGAGTTGGCGTGTCCCAGAGATTGACTATGCAGCAGCATTAGGCTATTTTCAAGTGTAGGGGCTGATCTGTACAGTCTCTAGCTGCAACACCTGACAGATGTCTTTTGTAGCTCAATAACTGGTGTTCCATGTTCCCTGCATCTGCAGACACAGGCAGCTGCACGGTCTTTCCTCTTCCAAACAGAAAAGGAGGGGAGGGTGTTTTTACGCATCCTAGGTGAGCTGCCTGCTTTCTGTTGCTCTGATAACAGCTGGAAAGGAGACTCCATTCTCCTTCCAGACTTTGGGAAAGCCATGGGAATTCTTCCCTGGCTGCAAGCAGCTAAAAGATGCATCATTGCTAGCATGGTGCGGACAGCTGTGGCCTGAGCAGCTGAGTCATTGCAGCCTCCATCACCTTGGGTTTAACACCCACTGTCCCACACTCTCTGCAGAATGGTCCAGCAATTTGGGGTGGACTTTGAGAAGCGGATTGAAGGCTCCGGCGACCAGGTGGACACACTGGAGCTTTCAGGCGGTGCCAGAATAAACCGCATCTTCCACGAGCGCTTCCCCTTTGAGCTGGTGAAGGTAAAACTGAGCTGGGTTATGCTCTTGTGTTTGCCCTGTCTCCTCTATGCTAGGCTGCGGAAGCCTTTTGACTGCACATGTTTCCTTCCCCTGGCTTCTGGCTTGGTTAGAGTCCAGCAGAAGTGTCCCTGGTTGCAGGCCATGTCTGGCTTGGACAGTAGCAGCCATGAGAGACAGCAGTTTCACAGGTGGGGGGCCTATCTCTTTGTAGAAGATGGGATGTGTCAGTTCTGGCATGAGACAGATGAGCCAGTCATGATGGGATTGAGGCCTCGCCTCTAGCTTACACAGGACTAAAAAGAAAGGGGTTTGCCGGCCTGCTTTAAGGAGTAAACCCAAAATGTCTCATATCTGATGGTCTGGACCACCCCCCCTCCTGGCACTGCAGGCTGAGACATGTTTGCTGTGTGTTTTATATGGCTCACAAGTTCCTGAAGGCAAAGAAATAGCACATCTTAAAGCTCTGAATGTGCTGTTGGCAGGAACTGTGAGCATCCGCTGGTCCCCAGTGAGCCCGAGAACTTGGCTTTCTTATGAGCCAGCCCTCGATTAGAAACCTGTGCTTCAGCTCGGGAGCAGCTCACTGTAAAATCTTAATTGTGGTTTCTGTCCTAGATGGAATTTGATGAGAAGGACTTGAGGCGAGAAATCAGCTATGCAATTAAAAACATCCATGGTGTAAGGCAAGTGTCAGAGGGACTCTTTCCAGTTGTGGAAATGCTTCTTGTTTCCCTGTGATCAGGCCTAGGTGATGTCCTGGGTTGGGTGTTCCCTGTGCAGTGACCCCACTGCTGGCGTGTGGGTATATTCACATGCCTATCTTGTTGGAGGCCCTGGGTCTGATGGGGTAGAACTCAGGGTCCCATAGAGCTATATTAGATGTACCCCCTCTAGCTGCTCAGACATGCAGGATGGAAGGGAAAGCCAGTGGCTTTAAGAACATCAGCAGTGTCATACTGGGCCAATGCTCCATCTAGCCCAGTAGCCTGTCTTTGACAGTCCTGGCCCTAGCTAAGCTAGGCGTCTACCAGACCAGGAAGGAGGCTCTGGCCAGGAAGAACCTGGGCAAGTGTTGGGGACCTGTTTTCCTCTCACTTCTCTGCTCACATTTCTAGGATGAGTTTTTTGCTGGTCAGCATCCACAGGCTCCCTCAATCCATTCAGGGACCAGCGTGCCCTGCTCTGTGCCCCCTCTTAGAGCACTTGGTATTAATCTCCAACCCTCTCTCCTTTCCCCATTATTGCTTTAGTTGTCCCAAGAACTCTTTCGGTTCACATTTATTAGTCTTCTCTGAGTTGGAGGAGGCAAACTGTTTCTGTGTGGACTCACACCTGTGGTCCTATGTGAGCCAAATAGGCCTGTCTCTTGAGAATGACAGGAGTGGATTCTAGAGGGTGAGCATGTGAACTGGGTATGTCCAGAGGGATCTGTCCCTTGTCAGACCCTCTTGGGCATCCATCATCATTGGTTTCATGATACCAGAAGAAATATCTCTGACTGTTCTGTTTAATAGCTGTTAATGGGGTCTGTCTTCCATGAACACGTCTAGTCCCTGGTTGGACCTGGCTTTACTCTCTGCCTTGACAACCTTATGTGACCACAAGTTCCACATGTTAATATGTGTTGCGTGAACCCTGGCCCAAGAGTTTCTCGATCTTTTCAAAAGCTCTCCATCCATCCTGGCTGCCCCTGGAGAGCTGGGAGGCCATCTGGCTGCAGCATAGCTATAGAAAGCAATTGCCTTTAGACCTTGCTGCAGCTACTGTTGACTTCAGATCCCTCAGTACTTATGGGATAGCTTTGTGGTTGCTTTGTCATTGTGATGGGACCCTACAAAGCAGATTTCCATTGGTGCCCCAGTCCCCTGGCTCCTGGAGCCAGACCCCCACAGGACCATGAGGCTCAGAAGTGGTGGGAGGGAGCTGCATTCTGGGCTGTCTCTGAATGTCTCCCTGGGACAGACGGTCACCTCTTTTTAAACCTCTTGACCCATTTTGTTTTCTCTCTGCCCTTGCACACGGCCACCTCTAGGACGGGGCTCTTCACACCAGACTTGGCATTCGAGGCCATTGTGAAAAAGCAGGTGGTGAAGCTGAAAGAGCCTTGTCTGAAGTGTGTCGACTTGGTTATTCAGGAGTTAATCAATACAGTTAGACAGTGTACCAGTAAGGTATTGAACCTCTGGAGGCCACCTGGCCCCTTCCTGTTCGTGGGGTGGAGCAACTCGGGTGCTACCTTGGCTTTGTTCTCCCCTGCCCACTTTGCTTGGCAAGACCCCATCCTACTCTGGAAGCATCAGCTGGGACTAGCTTAACTGGGACTCTGGCTAAGCCTAATGTCCAGGAGTCCTGACCTGAGGCACCTGTGATTACCTGGGACTTGGCACTGCTGAGATGTAAGAGAAGCCCTGGATTGATTGCATGAAAGGTCATGTTGGACCTCTGGAGGGTGAGGGGGACCTCTGGGCAAGTCACTTCCCAGTGTGACTTCCGGGATGCCTGTTTCTGTCCTGGATTCTGTCACTGGTCTGATGGTTAACCCTGAGTGAGTCAGTTCCTCATGCCGTGCCTCAGTTTTCTCCATCAGAAGCACATGGGGATGATGCACACCAGCACTGAGCTCTGTTGATGACAGGTTGCGTGGTGAGAGCTCAGGTCTTGAACCTGTTACATAATATACACCAGGCTAAAAGTGACATGAAGCTCAGCACCTGCATGACTCAAATCTGGCATAGAAGCCACCCTTGTCAAAATTAGGGGTAAAATTATACTCCTGTAAAGGGGCTGTGTGTCTACAGCTACATCAGAGGAGCAGTTTGCGAACTGTAAACAGGCTAGTATCTGCTCCCCTTCCCCTGAATAAGAAGGGGCTGTATAGTGCCTCCTTCGAGCTTTACCCCAGACTGGCTGGCTGTCCTCTCCAGATCCCAGCATCACTTACATTGAGGTGATGTGAGTAACACTCATGTTGCAGTGTCATGTGCCCAGGCCCCAAGTACAACTCTTTTTGTAATACACGTGAGACTTTGGGGACACTGACCCATCAGGGAGCCTCACGCTATCAATGACTTCCAGCAATGGTGCTCTGTGACAGACCTGACCAGGTCCTGCCAAGGCATTTGTCTCAGAGCGCTTTGGTGTCTGCCAGGCAGGTGGGCGGGCGAGTCTCAGTCTCAGTACCGATCTTAGCATGTGACTTCTGGATCTGCAGTTCAAACTGCTGCCTGCCTCTGCTCAGGGAAGCCGTGGAGGACAGGAGAAGCCAGTGCTGGAAAGAATCGCTTTCACCGATTCTCTCTGATGGCTGTGGCTTATTTACAAAACCTACCGTTTGGCAATAACCAGCTTGGTAACAAACGTGTTTCCACTTCAAAGGCTGTCCCTATTGTACCTCAGCCTGGCATGGAGTGGGAGCCTTGATGAATTGGCTGCTTCCAGATTCAATAAACTGACTTCCCAGCAGAGTTGCCCACAAGTTTCGCTTCCCAGAGCATGATGCTTGAGCAGAGTAGTGTTTCAATGCTTGTCCAGTGCTGTCTGTCGTAGGAGCCCTGGGAGTCTGTCTGGGCAGGGATCCTGCTGTTGTCTCTGTGCCATGGGTGTAGCAAGCTGTGTAACGTGGAGAAGCCGACGTCAGTTGCTGAGATTCTTTCAGTTCTAGGCAGTGCAGTGGTGGTGGGGAGTGGTAGGGAATTTTCCATGCAGCAAGTCAACAGGAGGGTTTGGAAGCATCACAGGTAGGTGACTGCATGGTGGGCACATAGCATGCTGCCATGGGAATCGGAACACTAAAGGTGCCCTAGTCAAGACCTTCTAGGTACGCTCTGCACAGGTAGCTCCCCCCATATCTGGGGAGGGGTGTGTTACTGTTTCAGTTAGTTCCTAGCCCTGTTCAGGCCCACAGAGCAGTGTTGTTCTGCTTCCCTAGTCTCCACCCAGGCTCCCATATGGCTTGTAGCAGTTACTGTTTAAAGCAAGGAACCAGCTCTTGGGCTGATGAAGGCAGTGTGGGTTTCTTGCATTCCCAGGGTAAAGCAGCAATCTCCCAAGTTTCAGCTGGTTGCTAGACTGGCTTCAGGTATTGATTGACTCGGGGAGCATGGCCCTCCATGCCAGGCTAACAAGGCCATGTGCAGGGCCCAGCCCCGGTGGGAAGCCATTGCCTGTTGAGATCTCTCCTCCTGCCCCTGCCTGATGGCTTAAACAAAGGAGGCTGGACTGGATGACCTCTGGAGGTCCCTGCTGGCCTGATTTCTATGATTTTGTGAAATGGCCTTGGAGCAGGGTGGCAATGGACTCATGGCCGAGTCCAGATCTCTGCTAAACCTTGGGTTTAATGCATCCATGAAAGGCAGGGAGGTCTGATCCAGTCACATTTTGAAATGACTCCCAGGGACCTGAAAACATCTAGCACTGGCGCTGCTGCTATCTCCTCTGCATGTTACTAACCTGGTTTTAAATCTTTTCTTCTCTTCCTGTCTCTGTCCCTGTCTCCCTGCCTGCCTCCTTTGGTATCTCGCTCTGCACGGGGCAGGACGGGGCTCTTCACACCCGACATGGCCTTCGAAGCCATAGTGAAAAAGCAGCTTGTAAAGCTCAAAGAGCCCAGTCTGAAGTGTGTTGATCTGGTGGTCTCAGAGCTGGCCACGGTCATTAAAAAGTGTGCGGAAAAGGTAATAGGTCTTTGTTCCTCCCTCTCTGCCCTACCCTGAGCATCTGGAATGCATCTGTTCCCAGGACCCAGCCTACCAAAGCGAGTCAGAGCATCAGGGTTTTGATATCCCTTGTGTGACAGGCAAGCACCTGTGGCCCAGACACCTGCAAATTAGCTAATTGCTGTGTGAAGCTGCCTTCCCAGCCTGGGTCCTGGTAAAACAGATGGCAGAGTTATTGCTATGCACCCTAGTGGCCTGGGCTAATGCTGCTCCCGAGTAGCTGAGGCCTGGTGTTGGTAGGAGCCATCTCACTTGCCTTGCTTAGCTTTTAGCCCATCCCTGGGACACCGGCAGGGATGCAAAGGCAGTACGGTTCTGAGACCCCAGCGAAGCAGTCGCCCTGCTCTTTGCTGTAGCTTTCCATTGTTCTCAGCCTCTGAGCCCTGTTTCTGTCTCCTGGACACAACCAGCGTTCAAGCCTTCCCCTGTGCTTTGTTCTATCCCGTGAGTGGGTGTGTGTTGTCAGGCTTTCTTGTGGCTCATGTGGGGTCGCCATGATCTGATGCCCCGTGGTCTTCCCCTTCCCCACAGCTTGGCTCCTACCCAAGGTTACGAGAGGAGACGGAGAGGATTGTTACCACCTACATCAGGGAACGGGAAGGGAAAACAAAGGACCAGGTAAGCACTGCATCCTGCCCTGCTCCTAGCAGGCCAGGGCCTCGGCTGCCTCATTGATACCCAGCGCATTAGGTGTTCGTGATCTGTTCAGAGGGCAAAGGCAGAGATGATTTAGTCCAGCAGAATGGTGTTGTTTCTGAATGGAAACAAACCTCATCTGATTTCTCATTTATTTTGCCTTAAAAAATGTTAAGGCGGCACAAATGCAGAGTAAATAGACATCCTTACCCTTTGTTGCACCACATGATAGGAAAATCAGTGGTGCAGCAAAAGGTAGTAATAGACTCTGCTGCTATATTGTGGCAGATATCTATTACCTTGTACTCTTTTCCTGCTCAACCAGCCACAGGCAGGAAAAACCCCGCTTTCCCTGCTGCCCCAGACCTGTGCTGTGGGTTTGGGGCAGGGGGAAAGTGCTTCCCTACTCAGCCAGCCTCATGGAGCTGACTGGGTGGGGGCAATCCTGGCTTTCTCCATTGCTCCTCCCACTCTGTGGGTCTGGGAAAGCAGGGAATTTGTGATGCCCTGTCCCACACCATCAAGGGCAGGCCAACATTGAGGCATAGCTCAGTTTCTCCATTTGGCAGTGCTTGTTTCTAGCCTTAGTCAGACCTGGTGCTCCAGCCAGAGCCTTTCAACACTGTTTTCCACCCCACCGCCAAAGCAGCAAACTCAGACATGCCTCCCTTCCTTGCAAAGCCACCTCCAAGGCTGGGCAACTGTTGCCTGTTGCGAGAGAAGTCCCAAAGTGCCCTCTGCTGGGAGAAGCGCAGTTTGCATGGCTGTAACTAAGAGCCCTGCACCTCCCTGTCTTAGTGCCTGGCACTTTGAGAAGAGCTTTAACAGATGAGCCTCCATGCTCTGGGGTGAACCCCCCTTCCCTGCCCCACCCCCTTCCTAGGCCTGGCACCAAATGCAACATGCTTGGGACAGGCCTGTAATCGTGGCCATCTTTTCAGATTCTCCTGTTGATCGACATTGAGCTCTCTTACATCAACACGAACCATGAGGACTTCATTGGATTTGCCAAGTAGGTACCTGCCCTGCTAGCCTAGAGGTGCAGGGAGCTGGGTACTTAAGTAACCAAGGCTTCTCATTACAGCTAACAGGCGAGCTGTAGCCACCGTGGCTGAGGCCATGGGATAGGGATCAAGACCATCCTGGAGTCAGTCAGCCTCCAGCATTGAGCAGTGTGCCCTCAGTACTGCTTAAAGAGAGCACCAGCATCCCCGTTGTGCAGAGGGGAGTGAGGAGGCCTGTCCAAAAAGTCTTATCCCGGCAGCGCTTGAGTCCTCAGATTGGAACACCTCAGCTGCTGCAGGCAGTGCTGGGTGCCAGTGCATCAGGACACACCTGCTCCAAAAGCAAGGAGTGGGTGGGGGCCTCTCTCCCTGGGCTCAGACTTTTGTCTGAAGTTGGGGAGGCTGGTTTGATCCCCTGTGATACACGAATGGGCTTCTCCTTTGCTAGGCACCATGTCACGAGGTGGGCATGGAGCCTGCTCTGAAGAGCTCAGCATCCAGGGAGGATTGAGGTGGGTGTCTGGGATCTCTTCCACACACAGAGGAGGGTGGGCTTATGGATTTGGTAAGGATGCCAAGATCTTCCAAGCATCTGCTGAAACAGGCCTCAGCAGATCTAAACAGCTCCCCCACCAAGAGGCAGCACCTTGGGCTCCTCCAGCCAGGCCCAGGCATTTCCCTCTTCTCTCTCCCGCCCCCTCATTTGTTTGTTCTTCCTTTTGTTCTTTCTTTGCTCTTCACACTCCACTCCAGTTTCTCCCTTTCCTAATCTCTCCTGTTTTTTCCTTTGAAACACCTCTCTCTTTCCTCTGCACTTCTCTGCACCTCCTCTCCTCCCACTGCCCCCAGCTGTTACACTGAGCAGCACTTGGCGACAGGGTGGGTACCTGCTGGAAACTGTATGTACCACACTCCTGCTTGCGTGCTCCCTTGCGGCGCCAGCCTGAGAGCAGCACAACTCTCCCTTGGCGCTGCTGGTAAAACGCCCTGTGCCTCTCTGAGCTACAGCCTCTTGCATCGGTGGGGGGCAGCGGGGAGGAGGGAGGAAGCTGGGGGTGTCCAGATGCCATTGGAGCAGGTCAGAGGTGGTGGGCACCCCTAAAGTCTCTTTGCTGAGTGGGGAGAGCATTGCACTGAGTCTCTGCCTGCCCCTTGCTTGGTACAGTCTGTGTAGAGCCTGTTGGTGCTTTGATTTTTTTCTTTTCAGTGCTCAGCAAAGAAGCACTCAGATGAACAAGAAACGAGCCATCCCAAATCAGGTATGGTGTGCCTGTTCGACCTGCTGTCTCTCTCTGGCTACTGTAGGGGGGCAGGGGTCCCCACTTAGGTCCACAGTGCCTCTGTGCAACCTGTGAGCTGCTTGTTGCTGTCCTAGCTGGATTGACTAGCCAGTCCCTGACAGAAAACACTGGCATGGGATTATGGGGTCAAGCCCCAGAGCTAGTTGCCCATTCACACCCTAACGTGTCCTGGTTTGAGAGCCCGTCCTGTGACTGAATTTTCTTCACTCACCATGGAGTGTTGGCAAGAGGAGAGGGGATCTGGGAAAGGGGCTTCACAGAACTGCTCAGTTCTGCCCCTTTGTTAAGAGCCTTGGGGCTGGGGCAAGGGTGGCATTAGTACAGAGTCCACACCCCAGCAGCAGGCTTAAACTGTCGTTCTGTCTCCACGCAGCTTTCCTGTGGTGGGGAGGGCATTGCTATTTAGCCTGGATGATATCCAGGCAGGATTGGCAACGTGTCCACTTGCACAGTGTCAATCCAGCAGGACGTGGACTTGGCCTTGTTTGGAGAGACTGTGATGAGATATTAACACTGTACAGTTATAATGAATTAATAGCATGTAACTGTTTTTCTTTTGCTGTTTTTTTTCTGCTTCTTTTTCCCTACCATTTTTGTGCTTCCTGCTTTCTTCCTCCCCCTCCGTCACTTTTTCTTCACTGTTCTGTCTCTTTGTCCTGCTTCTTTTTTCCCCTCCCCACTTTTATATATCCGCAATCCTAATTTTGCACACCTAAAGGGTGAGATCCTGGTAAGTACCCATGTAGTGTGATAGCACGTGGTAGAGCACCTAGCGATGGAGACGCCTCCCAAAGCATCTGATCCAAGCGAGTGAGGCCCCTATCTTCCTAAAAGCGAGTGCACTCACCAGAGTTCTCTCTGGTCCCTGATTTAGCCTGGTCTCAGGAGATGGAGCCCTGCCTGGCTTCTCTGTGCTTGAAATAGCCAAATTCATGCCGGGGTGTGGGTTGTGGTGAGGAGGGTAGGGACAGCTCTGGAGGGGAGTGCAGACTCTTGGCCTATTCCTGGGACTGCTATTGTGGGGGTAGTTGAGGCCTAGGGGGATGCAGTGCAGAACCGTTTTCCCCCCCATGTCTACATGCCTTTGAAGGTGGTCTTCTTCCCAGAGGAGTCTGAGCATAATTCAGGAGTTATGGAGCACTGGGGGCTTCTGTTTCATAGGCTGGATCTTGGCCACATCGACTGGCCAGGTTTGTCTGGAATGGAGGCCTTGGTTAGGGAGGCTTGGGTCAGCGACCATACAGGCAGACCCTTGGCATCCTGGGTGCTGGTATACACAGGCAGAGCCAAGTGTAGCTAGGGGACCACCCGGCTGGGAGAGGTAGCACCTCTGCTCTTCTGGCTTCCATCTGGCTGCCCAGGGGGCTCCCTGAAGCCTGAACTCTGCAGCCTGGGCACACAGCTGTGAATCTTCTTCACTCTGTCTGGCAGTGTTTTCCTCCTTTGGGGTAGGTTAGGAGGTGAGTGAGTTGGGGAGTGCCCAGTGCTGTCTGTGAGGGTTGTGGGTGGTGCCAGCCAGTCAGCTGCTCAGATCCCACAGTCTGGGAGGTGGATGTAGAGGAGGCAGGGTTCCAGGCATGGGCTGGCAGACTGATCAGCCACATTTCTGTCCCCGCCCCACCCCCCTGCACTTTGCCAAGATGCCAGTTCCCAAAGTAGTTGCGAACAGCTGGCATCAATGGGCAGAGATGCTTTCTGTGTTGATGGCACTTGCTGGAAGCCAGGCTGGCTGCACCTATGCCACTCATGGCTGGGCACCCAGTCTTCACCAAGCATCTGTGCCTCCACAGCTGAAATGGGGGCAGGTACACCTTGGAGGGCAGAGTCCCAGGGAATGCCTCTGACTCCAAAGCCTCCCTCAGGATCCAGCTGCCAAGGGTGTTCTGGTCAGTGCAGTCGCTTCTAGCAAGATGAGGAGTGCTGTTATCACTGAACCCCATTAGGAGCTGTTTGCTCCTTAGGGTGAGCAGTGCCCTCTGGAGGAAGGGGGGTGAAAGGGCTGGATCCCAAATGAACTGGTATCAGGGGCTCCGATTCTCATGGACTGCCACGGAAAATGGAAATGCCTGACATGCTGGGCTGGCGGAGATATGGTGGGAAGGATCTTGCTCTGTGGAATCCATATAGGGTGTTCCTTGTAGAGAGAGAGGGAACTTCCTGTTCCCAGCATGTTCTCAAAATACATCAGTCTGTCCTCTGTCATCCCTGCTGAGGCATAGCATCACACATGATGTTCCCTTTGAGCACAACCCTATCAGTCTGCCTTAGGCTGAAGCACACTAAGCCGCTGGCTGGCTGGAAGAGGAGGAGCTAGGTGCCATGGAAGAGCAGCCCTTGTTTTCATGTGGAAACAGGCCTCAAATTGGGTTCTTGGGTTAGGAGCAGGATCTGATGCTGCTGGGGGAAGAGTTAACACTGATGCTCTCTGAGCATTGACCCTCCCAGCATGGGGAAATTGAGGCACAAAGTGCTGGGAAGGATATTTCCTGGGGTTGGGGAACTGGCAGGAGGGAAGGGGTCCCCAGCTCTTCACTATTTTACTGGGATCTACTAGACTAGCATAGTTGGAATTGCCAAGGTCTCCAGCCTCTCGAGCAACATCAAGCTTCAAGGCTCAGCATGTTAGCTGGGTCACCCATGCCAGCTCCGGGGTGCTGCCACAGCGGGCTCAGTAAAGGGCTGGTTTTGGATGTGGAAGGCTGTTACAGTGAGTCCTTGCAGCTCTAAGCTAAGCATGCCAGAGTCTTCCCTAGCAAGTCGGGCTGTCTGCAGCAGTGAAGCACCAAAGCCCTGGAGAAGGGGAAAGAGAAGCAGAGCAAGGGGCCAGGAGACTGAAGAGATCCAGGACATGTGATCAGCTGGGGCCCAGGACACTTCCTCACATGGCCAACTGTGCCCTGGGCCTTGGCAGCTGGCTATGATGTCCTCACAGGAGGAAGGCAGAATGAGCCCAACCACAGCTTGCCTGGGTGACTCCAGGAGAAACAGGGTTGCGCTGAGGCCAACTAGCAGAGAACAGGGCTCGATGGGCCCTCTAGGCCTCAGGGCAGCTCCTTCCCACCTGTTGTCAGCATTGCAGGCATCAGTCGTATGCTTCCCCCCCACCCCGGCCTGAAAGTCCAGACGCTTCCATTCTCCCTGCTGTGTCCCACAGAGACTGGGAATCCTCCCGAGGGCCTGCCTGTCCCCTTCCGTCCTGGTCTCCCGAGGCTGGTTGTCCATCGCTGGCTGTGAGAGCGTGATTGTGCTGTGGCGATGGGAAGGGAGAGCTCTGAGCCAGGGCCCTGGCCCCTGTGGATTCAGAATAGTGCGGAGGGCCAGGGAGAGGCCCTAGCCTTCCTGATTGACACCATGCTGCTTCTGGCGAGTCTTTAAAGGAACTTCTTGGGCTCTGTGCTTCTGCTGTCAGCACCATGTGGCCTCAACCTGCCCCCTCACCCCTGCCTCATTTCACCCACTATAACATGTTTCCCCTAGCAAATTGGGAACAAAGCTGGCATTGTATTGGCATGTTCCCAGACCCCCAGAATTAAGTGTCACCTCCCCATCTTCCTGCTTTCTTGTTCATATCCAGCCTTATGAGCTGCAGCAACTTTGTTCCCCTGTTACCCACACATGCATATGGCCCCCTTCCCCTAAGGGTTTTCTCCAGAACTGGAGAGTTACTGGCTGAGAAGCCTGGCTTCTGGTCCTCTTGTCCCCCAGGCTGCTAATTGCTGCCTTCCTACCAAGCCCAGTTAACCCCTTCAGCCTGGCTTCCCTGTGCAGTAGCTTCTAGCTTTGCAGCTCAGCCTCCTACTCTGGCCCACCCTGCCTCCATCCTTCTCTCTGCACTCTGTGCTTCGACTCCAGGTGCCCTTCAGAGCCTCTGCTCAGACCCTCTCAGCTGCCCTGTGCCCATTCTCCTGCCTCTGTTCCTTTAAATCCAAATTTACTTCAAATTTTGCTGTCCAGTGGAAACTGGGTCTCAAATTGGGGTGACTTGGAAGGGAGCGACATCTTAACCTCAGTTTCCTTTCTGCCGTCTTGATTTCAGGGGTCCTTCCTTCCCTTCGCCAGAAAATCTGTATGAGTTAAGTTCTAGCTCTAGCTGCCTGCGCCCGTCAGTGCACTGTATTCTGTGTATGCGTGTAACATGTGTGACCTTTTTGTCATGGCTTCTGTGGCAGTAGCTACCGGAGTAGCTTTGAGAGCGAGACCCTTGAGGGAGGGTCCCAGCAACAGAGACCCATCCTGGTGTGAATTTGACCCCGTCGACCCCCTCCTCCTCTCTTGCCCACTAATCGCGGCACTAGAACTAATGCGAGCCCATGTCTCACTTCAGTCAGATTTCCAGGCCTGAGCTCTGGTCTCTCTCGCTGCTGTCCGGTGGTTCCTGTACAAGCCATAACAATTCCCAAAAGCTGGTGTATATGTCTAACCCCTTTCTGTGTAACATGGGCTATCTGCCCCCCGCTCCCACCTGTTCCATGCTTTGGACTGACTCCCCTATCAAACATCGCCCTGTGCAGAGTGCTGTCCCCAGTGTCTGCCTGACTAACCTGTGTGGTGATACTAACGTGTAGCATTTGGCTAGAGCAACCAGAGTGCTCTGTGGGCCTGGCACCAGGGCCCTTGGGCTGGCAGCCAAGGCTTTAGTCCCAGGCCTCCAGTCCCAGACCTCCATCTAACTACTGCAGTCTGGCTGGCTGCAAGACTTGGGCCTTGCTTGCCTGTTGTGGAGGGATCCCTGGCACTTGTCTGAAGCAGAGGATGTACACAGGGGCTCCAGGTTCATTGTGACAGGCCTCAGAGCAGTCCCCTAGCATCTAGGGACTGTCATCTCTGGAATGACCAGACATGTGTTGACACAGGGGGCTGTGATGCCTTGTAATCGGTTTCCTGTTAAGTGCTAGGCCCCTACTAGGGGAGACCGAGTTGACTGAACCTGTTAGCTGCCGGGAAGTGTGTTCTATTCCTGAGTTGCCTTGGTGAGAAGCCCTAGACTGTTAGATATTTCAGGGAGGGATCTAGCAGAAGCCAGGATTCCAGGATCAATATCCTGGGGTTAAACTTGAGGGGAGTTGTCACACTATGGCCCCAATAAGGATAAATCTGATCCAAGCTGTAGGGTCCTCACTGCATCCAAAGAGCTTGTCAATAGTTTGATGGTGCTGAGGCATGCACAGGGCTCTGGGAAATGTCCTGATTGGAACAGGAAGCCATTTCTCTCCCTTTGAGAGTAACAAAAGGTCTCTCCTCCCTTTGTCCTGTCCCTCCCTGTCCCTCCTTCTCTTCCTTGAGATGGGTTCCCATCCCTGTCCCCTGGAAAGGGTCCCCAAGGCCACCATGGACCAAGCAAACATTTGAGCTAGATGGTGCTATCATGCTGGTGGATGTCCTCTGTGCTCCCCTCAGAGCTGGTGGAGTGCCCTCAGCATCTCTGAAGGTGGGACCTGGCTCCCTCGGAGGCTGAGAAACAAGCCACTTGCTAGCCCCTCAAAGCTATCGTTTGTCATAGCACAATCAGCTCATTTGGAGAATGGCGTTAATGACAGCTCCAGCTTCCAGCATCATCCCAGAGCATCCCCCGCAAGCTGGCTGCAATTGCCTCAAAGGCTTCAGGATATTTCCTAGCTGGCTGCTGAAGGCAATGCACATCAAGTCGCGGGCTGAGGCTTCTGGTGCTGTTGATCTCCCTAAGGGATCCTTGGCTAGGAAGCTGCTCCACAAAGACTGTTCCCCTAGAGAAATCCCTTCCTTACAGACTTGGTCTCTATTGGCTTCAGCATGTGGTGATGAGGAAGCTGCCTGTGCGGGCTCTGTGGGCCTGAGCAGTACTCGGGGGCCTTCTCTGAGGCATTCTCTGAGGCAGGCTCCATCCTCTCTCCTTGGCTCTGAGAAGACCATAACCACTTTGCCTCTTTGCCAAAAACCCTTGTGGGTGCTGTAGTGCAAGAGACTAGCTGTGGATGCTTCCCCATTCTCTCAACAGTTCATGGAGAAGCACCAACTTCAGGCCAGGGAGACTGATCACCAGGAGGGGCTGGAACCCCAATTTCCCCTATTAGTTTGGGACAGGAAGTGCTTTTCCCTGCATGGCTTAAGCCAGCTGCCACGCAAAGCCCAGGGCAGGGCAGGGCAGCGCATCCTCGTTGTCTGCTTGCAGTGAGGCTTTGGCAGCTGCTTCAGTGTGTTGGTGCCCTGAACCTGTCTGTTGTCATTGTGTGCTCCACACCCAGCCCTTGAGGGGAGTGGGGAGGCAACCTTGGGGTTGTTTTATCCCAGGCTTCCTAGCAACCAGTCCTAAGAGCACGGTGCAACCCATGCTGCAGCTAGATACAAAGGTCTGGAATCAGATGGTTAAGATGCACAGGGCTCCATCCTGGCCAGCTCCAGCATTTTTCCAGCCATTCCTGGGCAGGCTGTGTCATCACAGGGAGCTGTAAAGGGGCCCTGTCCTGGAAGTAGTGACCCCTGCCTGGCTTCTCTTCACTGGGTCTCTGCCTTGCTGTCAAGTAGCACCTGGGAGGCCTTGAACTGCCCAGTCCTCTACACTCAACCACATTGTAGCAACTCTTGTTGCTCCCTGGCTGAGCTGGATTTGCAGCTCGCCTGCACTGTTTTTCTGTAGCCTTGGGAGCCTGGTGGCAGAAATGCCTCTAGGCCACAGCTAGGCCATGTATATGCTGTACAGAGGCTCCCTGAGCCTCTCTGCTCCAGGTTTTCGTCCAGTAGCCCCTTGACCTGAACAGACAGCTGGAGATGGCAGAGATGGTAATGTTTCTGGGCAGGCCTATTCTTTTCTTAATCTCTCCTTGGATTCCTACCTGCAAAGCTGGCTGTGGTGGGGCCCGGGCTAGCATGGGGAGCTCTTTGAGATGCAAGTGCTGATTTTTTCCTCTCTCTCCTGACAGGAGCCAGGGTGGGCCTGGCTTGTGATTCCAATAGCATCTCTGTGCTAGGGGGAGCAATGCTTGACAAGCTATTGTGGGGGCTCCCACCCTCCCTGCTTCAGGTGTCTAGCTTTGGTAGAAAGGGCATCTAGGAAATGCACGTGGGTGAGGTCTCTGGCTGCTGATGACATTAAACTCTGGTGGATCCCTACGTTTACTCCCGGGTTGCCAGAGATGGCTCCACGCTTCCTTTCCTGCTAGAGGGATCTTGCCTTCGGTAGCCGTGGCCTCACTGCCTTTCTCCGTTTTCCCACTCCTTTCATCTTTCTTCCAGGTGATCCGCAGGGGCTGGCTGACGATCAACAACATCAGCATCATGAAAGGGGGCTCTAAGGAGTATTGGTTTGTGCTGACAGCTGAGTCACTGTCCTGGTACAAAGATGAGGAGGTATGTGTCACAGTGGCTGGGCAGGCACCTCCAAAACAGGCCCTGCCATCAGAGGGGGTGGCTGGCACTCAGGCTTTGAGCTCTGCAGTTGGGGCAGGCTCTGTGGCTGTTGACTGTTGGCACTTACTGGCATCAAGACCAGCTCAGCCAGCTGCCACTGAGACCTCTGGGGTTGGATGGCAGCTTATGCCCTTGTTGCAGTGGCTTAGGATTGGGGCATCAGGATCTAAGGGCCCCTGGTTTCACATTCTTGTATTGGGATACACCAGGGTTTTCTTCCGGAACAGGGTATGCCCATGCTCTATCCATGGCAGGATCTAGCTGAGATTCTGCCCTCCCTGCACAGATGGCATTGGCTGGTCATCTGCTATTGCCCCCTGTTTTCAAATGCACAGGGCAGGAGCTGAGGAACCCAGAGAAGCCACCCTGCCTCGAAAGCTGCTTAGCTTGGCTTTCCTCCAGCCTTAGAGGGGCAGCTCTCAGGCTGGCAGAGCTGGGCATATGTGCGCTGAACTCTTGACCCCTCTTGTGGTGCTGCGGCTCCACTGGCCCCAAAGTAATGCCTGTGGGTGCTTGGTTGGGTTAGAGGAGCATCAGGGTCTCAAGCCAGCAGGCTCAGCTGCTCTGTACTCTGCCCCCGCCCCCCTTCCAGTCATCCTCTCACATCAGTGTGTGTTTGGGACATGGGGGTGGGCACACCATTCTTTCAGCTGCTGCCGAGACTCCCCGTGCATCCCCCCAGCCAGTTAGTCTCCCCGTGCATCCCCCCAGCCAGTTAGTTCCATGGCTCCGGAGGTCCCTCGAGAGTTTGGGTTTGTGTAAACAGCAGATAAAGAGCAGGATACTGACAAGTGGGGTCTGACAAGACCCAGCTGCCTGGGTGTAGCAGAGCCAAGGCCTGGCATGCTGGGGGTGGGGTGCAGACACACTGTTGCTGCAGTGGGGCCAGTGGGAAATGCAGCTTGACCACCCTTGGGAATCCCAGCATCCCAGGAGTTCGGGTCTGATTTGGCCAGGATCCAAAGGAGCTCTTGGATGTCAGGGACAGGCCCTTCCCCATCAGCAGAGCCATAGGGTCATGGAGAGGCATAGGATCCCAGGCGCAAAGGTTGTCTTAGCTGCTTGAGCCCTGGCAGACTGGCTGCTCTATAAAACTCCAGCATATCTCAGATATCGGCATCCCAAAGCAGCTTTCCCCCCACACCCCCTGGTACTTACAAATGGGGGTGCTGCTGAGTACCTTGGGACTGGAATTTAATTAAACCTACTGTAATTCACATTATCCCTCCCCCACCCAATAATAAAGCACTGTTTTTGGGGTAAGCCCATCAAAGCAGAGGGATGTACCTCAGCGCTGTGCAGTACCCAGTTCTTATTGCACTTACCAAGGGACGGTGGTACCTTTAGTCCTCTCCTACAGCTGGGGAAACTGAGGCACAGGGAAACGCTTACCCAGCGTTACTCAGCAGGGCTGGGAATAGAACCTGGGCCTCATGTTCTCCTCCGCTGCCTGTGGCACCACCCTGAGTCACTCCACCCCACTCTGGCCTGAGCCTCACGTTGTTCTAAGCAAGGTTTTGTTAATGCTGGGCTGGCAGGTCTTGGTGCAGACTGAACTGAATCTTCGTGCCCATGGGGAAAACGCCTGCTGTGGGTCTGACTGCAGACCCCTGCTCCAGACAGACAGAGCACATAACCCTTACCCAGCCCTTTTCTCAGGGCCTGATGAGGGATCTCCCAGCACCACTCCTCAGTATTTGTAGTAGTCCTGCTGCCTTGAAGCTTTCCACGCTCCCACCCCCACAGTCTGAAAATGTTGTCTTCCTCCCCACCAGAGGCTGGTGGGTCTGCGTGACGCCAGGGCTGGGTGGCAAGAGGCGGCGGTTGGGTGGAATGCCATGAGCCGCCCACACGCAATCTCTAGGCACCCAGCTTGGAGAAAAGGAGATGTTAGCAGAAGTTTTATTTTCTCTGAGTGGCCATACAGCTTTAGTATCTGGAGGCAGCCCCCATGCTCACTCTGTTCGTGTCCTGGATCTTCAGTGCAAGCTGCAAAGATTGAACCTTTTCTTAGCACGGGGGCTGTAAATCTAGATCAAGACTCCCTTAATCTACCTTCTTTTAAAAAAAAAAAAAAAAAAAAAAAAAAAGGAAGGAAACACATTGGGCTGATCAGTTCTCCCCCACCCCTTCCCTGCCCCCTCTTCTCCCCAGCCATGGCAGCCTGTTTCCTGTGGGGAGGCCTCTCTGGGGCTGCCTGTCTGGCCCCTCTGTGGTGGGTAATGAGAACCAGCAAGCTGCAGATGAATGAGGCTCTTGTGTTCAGCAAGCAGAAATTGTGCTCCCCCAGCGCGCACGTGCCCCCACACCCCCGGTGGCATTAGAAGAGCCGCTGCCTGCAAAGAGCATCCAGAAAGCACCCAGCTGCCCACAGCCGTGGAAAAACTTCCTTGAAACCAGCTCTTGGGGGTGGGGTGGGGTGGGGTGAGGTGGGGGGGAAAGTGGGAAACAAAAGCAGCATGCGTTTCTGTGCTCACCTCCCACCAGGGAAGCTGGGCAGCCCCAAGCGCTTGGGCATCTGGCTGTGTCCAGCTGGTGGCAAACATGGAGGGAAGAGTTTGCTCCCCGGCTGGAAGCAGGGGCTGGTGATAGTAGGGAGGAGGAGGAGTGAAGCCCAGCACTGCCCACCTTACCTGGGTCTCCCCAGCTGCTGCCAAGGCGTCGCTATGCCAAGCCCGATCTAACCAATGTGCAGACTACTGTACAACTTCATATGCTCCTGAACAGGTAGTCTGAACACTGGGCAGGCTGGGCTGGACTCTGCTCCCGGGCAGCCCCAGGGGTGTCTTCTCTTCCCCCCCTCCCTCCTCCCAGCCTCCTCCTCGGGTTTGTTAACTGGGGGAGACTCTCCTGAATGCGAGGAGGCTGCTTTGTCTCTTCTGACGTGGCAGCAACGGCGGCGGGGTCCCGGCTGGAAGTGCCGTGGGCTTTTCAGGAAATGGTGCAGAGGAGTGTGGGGCGGCGGGGGCGGCCGGGAGGAGGGTTTAGGTCTGTGGCCTCCACAAAGGAGAACGTCACTCTCTCCCTCCCTCGCTTTCTTTCTGGGGCCTGTGTGAATGCAGCATCTGGAGCCAGAGTCCCTAAGCAATTCCAGATGTGGTGCTCAGCAGCAGGGTGGCCCCTCAGTCCTGCTTCATCTCAACCTCCTTCCTGCCGGTTTCCTCAGCCTGACATCCCTCCCCCCCGCCCCCCAACCCCAGCACCCTCTTCTAAGAGGGACCAGCAGCAGGGAGGGGAAGGAGGCATCCATGCCACATGCCAGGAATCTGAGTGCTCCCATTGAAAGCTGACCCATCCGTCGTCAAAGCACAGACATTACAGGCCAGAGCAGATCTACAGCTGTGCTGCAGCTGGCATTGGGCGAGGGCCTCTCAGTGTCTGGAGTGAGGGAATTGTTTTCCCAGGCAGCCACAAGGCTCCATTGTGGTGCCTTTTTGTAGACAGGAAGGACATAGGGCAGGAGGCTTGGAGGGGATGGTCTTTGAGGGCACTGGGCACAGTAGAAGCTTCACACACAAGTCCCCATGCAGCAGATGGAATTTCCAGTGGAGAGGATAGGTAACCAGATGCCAAATATTCAGCAATGCTGCTAGACAGTCTTAGAGAGCAGGTACCAGGATAGATGAACCCCTGTGGCTACCTGCTTTTGGCCATTGGTACAGAACCTGACCCCTGCAGTCAAGCTGGGTCCAGGCTGGTTTGAGGATGGGTCTAGATTGAGAATTGATGAGTTGTACTAGCTGTCAGATGTTGGATTGGGAAACTTACCTCCTGGTTCTAACACCCTGTTGACTCATGTGTGTTTCCCACCCCCACCCCCCTTTAGGAAAAGGAGAAGAAATACATGTTGCCTTTGGATAACCTGAAAATTCGGGACGTGGAGAAAGGCTTCATGTCAAACAAGCATGTCTTCGCCATCTTTAATACAGAGCAAAGGTAAAAGAAAGGGGACACAAAGACCTCCTTAGGACCTTGCTTGGGGCAGCTCTTCTGATGGAGCCAGTAGTAGTAGTAGGCATCTGTCTGTCTCACAAGACAGTAAAATTGTGCCAAGTGAGGCATCAGCTCTTTGAACATCTTTGAAAGATAAGGCAAAGCTGGAGTGATGTTTCCAGGGCTCAAAAGCCTGGGCAGTGTATATGGAGACACTGATTTACCCATGCAGCAGTGTCCCCCTCCCAGCCTTCCTGCTTTAGTCCAGAAGAAAGGTAGGTGTCAGTACATTTGGAACCAGATTGGATGCAGGGGTGGCCAGAACAAAGGAAATTGTTTATTTGCCTATTTATTGGGGCTCTGCTCCTAGACTGGCTGCCAACCAGTGTTAAGAGCCCAGTCTACCATCATGCAGTGGACCACAGTTCCACAACCTCATGGTGGCATTTCCTCCATTAGAGGTAAGATGACTACTGTCTAAGGTGCACTTCTGCCTGAAGCCATTGGCAACCTAGATGTTGCCAGGTTATTTATCCACTACCCAGCACTCAGGTAGAAGGTACTACCTGCGACCACCCAGCACTCAGCATTAACAGTTGCAGGTAGTACCATCTACTGTAAATCAAAGTAGCAAGCAAACGTGACCTGACTTAATGGAGTTGGTAGCCCATGGATTATTGAGCCCCTTTGCTCTCCCCTTCTGTCTCATTGGGGCCCTCCCCAGTATAGGCTGTCACCCAGAGCAGGCTGTACAGACCCCAGGCTTTCTCCTTGCCTTCACCGTCCATGCTTAACTACAGTCATTAGTCTCGGTATTGGAGTTGGAAGGGGCAGCTTGCCCTTCTTGGCTGTTATCGGCTTTCTGGGGAGATGCAGCCTTGTTATTGCATTGCTTCCAGTTAATTGTTGAACTGGCCATCACCTGAGAGGCCAGCTGGTCTGTCCTGAGTCCAGAGCCCTGCTTGCCTCCACTAGGAGAAGGCATCTACCTTCCTCTCTGCTCAGGGGGTTGTTCTCAAGCATGGGAAGTAGCTGTGGCCTGATGAGGAGGATTCTTTCAGC